ATTGTAATAATGAACCAATAATCGTACTAGCAATAATGATACCTTTTTTAAGACAATGATGGATGGTAATTATCATATTAGAGCTGCATTAAGACATTGAACAGAAAGGTGCACAATATTATATAATAGTAAGTCAAATATCAAACCACAACCAAACTAGCCAAACACAGAACCACCACCACACATAAAACTTAAAGAAAAAATAATACCTATTTCCATTATTCCAACTAACCATTTAATCTACCATCTCTCTAATAAAAATTGGATCACCTGTTATACGGAATTAAACTCTATTAGAGAGATAGTACGCTAGATGATCAGTTGAGATAATACAAATAGCAATACTCCTGATAAGACACTACTACACAAAACGACAAGCACACAGAAAATCAACACAAAAAGGTGACGAAAACAAACTATAAACTCAAGCACCGATCAGGAAGATGCAGATCGACAAATCAAACTTTGGGGTCGGTTAGGTTGGGCTGGTGGCCATGAGAACGAACCTTGATGATGAAGAAGCCGAGGGCATGGCCGGTCACGGCGGCTATCAGGATTCCGATATTGAACGACATGACAGCAAGCATGACCAAGTAAGCCAAAGCTGTGCGAAAAGTGTAGACGCCTGTCTGGGTGAGGGTGCATATGAAAGTCTTGGTGCCTGGTTTGTGTTTGGGCGAAACAGACAAGACTTCAACGGCAACAGCGAGGAGGAAGACGAAGAAGAGGGCCAAGACATACATGAGAACGCTGTCATCGGGCCAACCACGGAAGAGGACGGTGACGTTTGTGGTCCATGTGAGGCTAGAGCTCATGGCACCATCAGTTGTGTTCTTCAGGTCGCCCTTGGGCGCAGGGGGAGTCATAGACATGCCAGCCATGTCATCTTGGTTAGACATCTCTCTCTGCTTGTGAGAGAGAGAAGAGAGAGAGAGAGAGAGAGAGAGAGAGAGAGAGTTTGGAGATTGCAAGGTTAATTACTTTGGATGATCTGGTATTTGGGGAAAAGGGATTTTTCTTGTTGGTTTTAATTTAATGAATGGAGGAGCTGGAAAGCAACGCTGTTGGAGGTGATGACGAGGGTTGAGAGATAAGTGGCCTTTGATGGCACAGATTCTCTTTTATTTTACATGGGTTTTGTTTGTTTCTTCATATGGTTTCTTTTTAAAAAGTAAATTTCCCACTATATTAAACTTGAGAAATGCTCTCGACTTTTATGTTTCTAGACTGTGAACACAGACCATTAATCGAGCTTAACTTGTATTGGAAAAAAAATAGCAAAGTTAATTGGTGCTTAGAAAGTGGAATTAAGGAATGGGCAGGTTTATAATTTTATACATAGGAAATGGCCGAATAGACCCCATCATAAGATAGGATTGGTTGTGCTAGCTAGTGCTGTGTTCTAGCAACTTACTGAACAAATAAAATTATTCTGGTTTTAATGGTTAATTTTCTTCGTGAAGAAAAAAAAAGGGAATTCATCATGGGTTGATTCACTGGTTTCATATAACAGAGTCACATCAGAGCAAGATATTCTTCACGACAGAATTCATTTCATTTCATTTCCTTGTGCTAAAAGTAAAGCCAATTCATTTACGAAAAATGGTAAAATAATAAAACTAATCAACATATGGGCACAAAATCAGACTTCAGGCTGGGAAGGTTTGGCCGGAGCTCGGGAACTGGCCTTGACTACGAAGTCTCCAAAGGTGTGGCCTGCCACGGCAGCTATGAAGATCCCGACGTTAAACGACATGACAGCGAGCATGACCAAGTAGCCCATGCCGACTTGAACAGAGTAAACAGAGGCCTGAGTAATCCCGGCCACCATCGGATTGGTGGTTTGTTTAATAATGGGCCACACAGACAAAGCTTCCTTAGCAAAGGCCAGCACAAACACAAAGAAGAGTGCCAATATGTACATGCCAGTGGTTTGGTTAGGCCACCCAGTGAATAGAATTGTGGGCTCATTGCCCCAGTGGAAGCTCATCTGCATATTCATCTTGGGCATGCCCTCCATTCTGCCCTTGCTTTGCTTGAGTGAGAGACTTTACAATTCTCTCAGAGAGAGGGAGAGATGGGATGTGGTTTTGAGGGCTGGGCTTTGCAAGGTTCTCTTATAGATTGGGTTACAATAAAGACAGATTAGTGTTGAAACCAATGTTTTTTTTGGCTTAATTTGGGGGTGATTACAAAGGGATTAGGGACAAATGGCCTTTTTAGAGTTATTCTAAAGATGGTATAGTACACATAAATTGAGAGGTGATCAATTCTAAACATGATTATCATTTTTATTTATTAAACACACTACTAATTCCAAATATTACAACATGCAGTGAGTCATGCCAATGCACCAAACTGCAAAACACAAGTAAGTTAGGTTCGGTTGCTCAGGACAAGTTTGAATTCCCGTCCCCATAGATCAGATTAATTTAGAGCTTTGAACTATAGCTTGTAAATTAAAATGCAGAACATAGAGAAAGTTAAATTAAAAAAGGACACCCTTTCATAAATTTACAACAAAAAGAAAAAGAAAATTAAAACCCACCCAAGAATCGTTATTATCCGCACGTCATGGGAGGAAGACTCGCCTGTCTATCAATACCCGACCCGTCCGACTTCTTAAAAGCCCGGCTCCCGAAAAGCAAAAACCCGACCGCATGCCCTGCCACCACGGCGAGGAAAACGCCGCCGTTAAACGACATGACGGCGAGCATCACCAAATACGACAGCCCGGAGCGCAGCGTGTAGAGACCAGTCTGCAGAAACCCCACCGCCACGCCGTTCGCCCCGGGCTTGAAGAAGCTGCAGTGGGAGAGCAGCTCGACGAGGACGGCGAGAACGAAGACGCAGAGCAGCGAGAGGGCGTACATGACCGGGTTGTCGCGGCCGGGCCAACCCGAGAAGAGAACGTCGGCGCTGTGGCCCCAGAAGAAGGTCATGTGCATCATCATCTTGCGGCGGCGCGTGGGCATGAACCCAGTACTGCCATTAAACGCCTGAGGCGGCGGAGATGGGATGTTGTGATGTGAAGCAGCCATTTGGTTAGTTTATAGCAGAGTTTTGATTGGGCAATTGTAATGGCTAGCCTAATATTTTCGACAATTGCCCATATATATTGTATATGGTTGATTGATGAAGATGAAGAATGGTAGAAGATTATGCAATAGATTAAATGTGGGCATATGGCAGTCGGCGAAACGGACGCAAGGCAAGAGGGAACAGAATGAGAATTTCTCTCGTTTTGGACTTGTGGTAGCTCACGCTCTTTATTTTGTTGCTGCAGCATCATATCATTATCAACTTTTATGGTCTCACAACAAAAGCACAGTTTTATTTATGCCAATTAATTTAATTCCAAGTTTAAGAAAATTGCATGCAAGATATATCTGGCAAGAGATGATTTCTCTTAATAAATCTAATCTACTCAACAATTATGATTTTAAATTAATCTAATCTACGAGAAAAGGTATTTAAACTCAGGCAATTGACCTTACCCAATCAACCTTATATAAATTAATGTTACAAAATAAATCCTATGTCATAATTTCACAAGTGTGAGTGGAAATGTGGAAGGTGATGGAGGTGCGCGTAGGAGTGGAATTAGGATTAGTTCACAGATGAGCTGTGAGTATGAGCATGACTGGTTTCCAAGCAACTCCTGCACGAAAGCTGCCAGACTCAAACCAAAACTATTATTCTCTCTCTCTCTCTCTCTCTCTCTCTCTCTCTCTCTCTTAAAGGCTTAAAAGGAGGCTCGGACTGAAACCAGAAACGGAATAAAGAGATGTTTGATATTTCATGACTTATCACTAGTCCCTCAGTCCATGCACACCAACACTGATTGCCACGTGGAAACTGATGTAGCAGCAGCGGGTTGGCTCTGTTGGTCTGCTACAATATTGAGCCCAACCACATTTCACTGTTTGTGCTTTTAAGCAATCTGGTTTTGCTCGTTTGTTCATCAGAGTAATTCTGGGCATTTCATTCTTCTGGTAAATTACAATGACTTTCTACAGTGAAACTTTTATTGGCAAAGAACAGACTTTCAATTTATTTTTATTTCATGAAAGTTGGCAAATCCAAAGAATTAATGGGGCAAGAAATTATCAAACAGGTTGCTCTCAGAGTTTCGAGTGGCTATACTCGTTTTTTCTAAATTGTTTCAAAAAATAGTATAGCCGCCCGGCTTGACTATTTTACACGTGGCGCACAGGCGCTGGGCGGGTCTTTATACATTTATATGTAGTATAGCCGAACGGCTTTACCCTTATATATAGTATAGCCGTGCAGCGATACTTAATTTTTTTTGAATTTTTTAAGAAATAGGATAGCCGTGCGGCTATACTCGTCTTTCCTAATTTTGTTTTAAAAAATAGTGTAGCCGACTGGCTTTACCGTTTTGACACGTGGCTCCTAGGCTCCTGTGCGTCCTTTTTTTAATATATAAATAGTATAGCCGTGCGGCTATACTGTTTAAAAAGAAAATTTAATCCTGGAAATTTCACCGGCATAGATTTGTTCCGACGAACTTTCGTCGGGGTAGATTTTTTAATTTAATATATGTAGTTAAGTAATATCTTAGCCTTTTTTAATTACTTTAATTAGTAATTATATTTTAATTATGATTTATTATATAAAAAAAATTAAAAAAATTCCACAAAATAATTAATTTCTATTTATTAAGTCTTTTGTGAAATCGTTTGGGTGTCCTAATTAAATTTCTCCATAGCCCAAGAGCCCCATCCACTACTATTAGACCATTACTCGAGTATTTGTTGTCCCTTTTTGATTTTTTACTATTCTCTGAAGAAAAAAGACACGGCTTCACCCCCACATTAGACATACCTGAAATCTTACAAATTCCGCCCCCATCCTCATCTCCAAAAGAGTACCTTTATGTGCAGTATGGAGGGCAGAGTTATGGTTTTGATGTTGACTTCCATTCTTTGTATATGTAGGAACCAAATGAAAAACATACCGCACAAATTTTGCCTTGCCTTAATAATGACTAGATGAGCTGGAAGATTTACACCCCATGCCAATGGGCTGGTACAAACCAATACCTATAATTTTCCATGACGGCTCTTGATGGTTGCTGCTTCCTTTGTTTCCTGTCTTGGCCATTTTGAGAAGTGCTTTCATGCCCCTTGCCCTTTTCGTAGGAAACAACAACCTCTTTGCATTTTGCTTATGATACAAAGTTTGAACTCTACCCCACTTTCATTTGTCTTCTAGCTATACCATACTGCCTCTTGATTCTTCTAACTTGATAGGATAACCTTCTCCAATGAAACTTAAATCTGGTATTTTGTTATTCAAAACTGGCATTTGATGGTTGTATTTGTCATGGTCTATTGCCTTTGTTGGTAGGTGTCGCCTGAGATGGTTAGCGCATTGTGTGGTAACACCCATTTCCTAGGTTGGGGTTAAGCATCCCCTATTGTTGCCTTGAGCTCACTAGATGGCAATGGACTAGAACCGTTAGATGGCCAAATGGAAATGAAAACTAAACCTCAAAAGTTATGTGTCATGAGAACAGTTGACCACTTTGAGCCTTGAGTTCCATTTGTACTTGAAGAAGAGAATTGGCTACAAATTCATCTACTGGCATCTCCTTGCTCAATACATCATAGTCCCTGAGAGACTTTTCCCAACGCCCAAGCTGGTCCATTGAAAAATGCCTTATTATTTTCGATCGAAAAACCAAAAGCCTTAAAAGAAAGAAAAAAAAACTGAGAAATGTCTAGTTTTCTTTTGCTAGATGAAATTAAGAACTTGCACATGAGGAGGAAGGAACATACTCTGGCATAAGAGTGAGCGTGCCTTAAAAGTGCTTTGTGATAATTAGGCCGTTCTCTCAGAGCTGCATTGCAATCATCAATGGCCTTTTCCCATTTTTCAAGCTTAGACTTGCAAGCAGCTCGATTGCAAAGCAAGACACTATTTGTTGGCACATATTGCAGACCATGGCCATACTTTGTGCATGCCTCCAAGTACTTCCCATCTTAAAATAGAGCATTTCCGGCTTTTTGAGCATCAGAAGCTCCCCTAGCTTTCCTCAGCCACTTCAGAGACTTTCGGGTTGTGTCCAAATCGACAGCTTTCTCTGCAGTGAGCACCCCTTGCTCAAATCTGAAACAAAATCAAAATTTTAGGCCTATTGTAATTTGCAGGAACTGAAATAGCATAACCAAGTGGCAGCTATGCAAAAACAATCCACCATTTACCATGAATGTTTGTTCAAATTTGACTAACTTTCATGCAAGGCACCTAGGCAATTCCCTCTTTGTCCATCAAATACATGATTTTGCTTATTTGAATGACAGATTTTGGTGAACCTTAAATAAGTAAAGTGCAATTAGTAATTACCTGCCAAGATACAAATTGATTTGAGTTTCAATTATCAGCAAGTATGTTGTTCCCTTGCAAGCTTTTCTGTGTCTGTTGTCTTCCGAACCCCTTGCAGTAGTTACTAGTTCAAAAGCTTCCTCTGTCCTTTGAAGCTTTAATAGAGCCTCAGCTTTTAAAGCAAACAGCTGCAAGAGCCATATGCATAAGCAATGCAATAGAGTATATATTTCAAGTACATAAACTACTCAAGCGCTTCTAATTACCTTGTTTGATGCATCAGCTCCAGCTTCAATACATTGAGTGCTTTCTGTCAAAACATGGCGCCAGTCTTTAACTTTTCTGGCTCTCTTTATTGTATTTTTATAATGAGCTTCAATCTCTAAAAGACTTCGGATGGTTTTTTAGTCAATGTTGTTCTTAGATAACTTGAAATGCCATCTTGCATCATCAACTTGCCCAAACCTGAAAAGGCCAAATATTGTAACAAAAGTATGATTTGGAAAATTCTTGTAAGGCATTCAACTATTTAACACAAACAGTGAGGCTGCCTAAAATTAGGAATGCAATAAAAAAAATGTTTACAGCATCTACAAATCGAACTAGAAGAACTTACGGGGTTGCAATTACAAACCAAATACCTGGTATAAAGAATTCCAAGTCGATGACGAGCACGAGAACACAAAGTATAACATTTGATTGCTTGCAGGCACTCTTCCATTGATTCTGTTAATCTGCCTAGGCCAATCAATGATGCAGCCTTATTGTTATGGCAGGCAGCATTTTGAGGGCACAAGGCAATAGTTTTATCATAAAAAGAAATCGCGTCCAAGAAGCTGGCCCTTCTGTACTTCATATTACCCATGTTGTTAAGCCTTTCCACAATTTCATGGTATGGAGAAGAAGATAGTGAACTTAATAAATTTGGAGATTTTGGCGTACTCTTATTGTCAGCAGCCACATTGACCCTCCTTATAATGTTTCCATGTCCATAATGACATCTTCCAAGGCCTAATACATGGTTTTTAGGCCTTGCTTCAATTGCTTGGCCATCTTTGAAATTCTGAGGAGATTTACATATGTTCCCAAGTGAAACACTTGATGATGAGCCCTAGCCTTCTCGTCAGCAACCAAATTCCTGCTCTTTATAGCTTCACATGTTCTAGATCTCTCTTTCTTAGATTTGGAGCTCCCTTCATTTGAAAAACTTGAATTACACGGAGACGACAAGAAACCATTAGAAGCATCATTACCTTTATAGCTCTCTGTCTTGCTCTGTCTATGATCAGAGCAATCCATCTCAGAATTCTTCACTTGGACATCCCATCTTTGCGGCCTGTGCTCCTTTGTTTTCCAAAAAAGAACCCCGCCGGTGCCAAGAAACAAATTTTCATAAAATAAAAAGAAAACAAACCTCAAGAAACCAAAGATAAAGAGTACCAAATACCCACAAGAAAACCTAGTTGGAGTCTCAAACCAAAGGACAAAATGAAACTGGAAATTCAAGTCTAGATAGTGTTACATATATAGTAGAGCATTTGAGATGTGACGAAGATATTGTACATAGCAAGTAGTGTTGTTCCAAATAATAAAAAATCGTGGGATTTGAAACTTGAAAGACATAATCGAAGGGAAATGTTTGACGACACACTTTGTTTTCGTTGTGCGTTCCTATAGTGCAGGAACATAATTGGAAATTGAGTGAAAAAAACATCCATCATTTTCTGTGTCTTATCTTACATGCGTTAATTGATTTTGCGCGTGGTTAGTATGGGAAAATTGAAAAACAAAATTGAGGGGAAAGTTAATGCTATTTATTATATTTCCAAATCCATCAATATCAAGATAAAATTTTGATGTGATTTGATATAATGTTTGATTTGGAGGATTTAAAAGAGTGGTTTTTTTGTTACTTCTTTCTCCATGATACTTCATCACAACTTCTGGATTGATAGATAAGTGAATAGCTATCAAACTACTCATTAGAAAATAGACTTTAAAGACATTACCTTATGAAATTATGTTCATCATGATCTGATATAAAAAGTTCAAAATAAACATATTTGCTGTTGTACAAACGATAGTTTAAACTGCTCTAAATTACATGACGGAAAAATTAAACTCAAGCGCAAAATATTGCCATATGGCTTAACTCACAACTGCAAAGCAAACAAATTAGAAAACTGTTTTATAGCCAAATGGAGTAGGATCATTATTCGTTTGTTTTATTAATTCATGGAACCATGCTACACTTGGTTTATAATAATAATTCTTAGTGCCCAGAAATTTGAACGACTCTGGTTGCATGAGGATAGCAATTAACCTTCTCCTTAGGAACCGTGACAGTGAGCTCTCCACTTTCCATGAACACCTTCATCTTGTCAGCTTTGGCATTCTCAGGCAAACTCAAACGCCTGATGAACTTGCCGCTGCTCCTTTCGATGCAGTGCCAATGGTCGCTCTTCTCTTCTCTCTTCACATTTTTCTCTCCCCTAATGCGAAGAACCCTACCTTCCTCCACATCCACCTTTACTTCTTCTCTCCTGAAGCCTGGAAGATCTGCCTTGAGTACATATGTGTGCCCATCTGAGGTCTCCTTCCAACCAATCATGGAGTTGGTGAAGGAGGTTGTTTCTCTTGGAAATCCATAGTCGAATTCCTGAAATGGGTCCCAAACATCGTGGCAGAAAGGATCATAGTGACCAACAAAAATGGTACTAGGAATTAGTGCCATGATCTTTGTGAAAAAAAAGGACACACGCACGCACTGGCTAGCTAGCTTTAATCTCTCAATGCTGTGAAGTTAAGGGGGAGTAGAAAGCTGTATTTGTAGGCCAAAATTGAATGGTTGGAAGGAAAAGGATATAGTGATGTGAAAAATATCTATGGCAACGGTGCACAAATTGCTGAAATTTCTGGAGAGAGAATCCTCTTTATGAAAGAAAAGATAATTACGCATGGAATAATATGCTATTGCTGTGTCAATGTCATTGTCATGAGAGCATTTCTTTTTCTTTTTTCTTCTTCCTGGGGTTTTCACATTATTGCTTGTGTCTAGCATGAGAATTTGTCACACATGGAGCTGCAAGTTTTAATTGATCAGTGTTATATGCAACCAAATAAAAAGGGTATCCGATTTTATTCATTAATAATTGATCAATCTATTACAAGTTACAACCAAAAGAAAACAACCATAAGAAAACAACCATGTTTCAATGCAAGAAATGCAAAAGGAATGAAACAACACAAGAAATTCTAGTGAAAACTAGATGTGGTGTTGCAAACTTCGAATGTATTCGATGAGCTGCTCCAAGTTGTTGTGGGAAGATCCACCTTTGACGACACTGTCACGAGCCAATTTGGAAATGGTGTCCACGGAGCTCTGGATCTCCTCCCTTTTGGGTCCCATCAAGGTTTGGATCATGGTTTCAATGTTGCATCTGTCACAATTTTCATTCAATTGGAGACCAATTTTCCACTTCTGAGAAACAGTTCTGCTAATAATATAATGGTCCCCCAAATTGGGCCAACAGATCATAGGAAGCCCAGCCACAATGCTCTCAAGCGTCGAGTTCCAGCCACTGTGAGTCAAAAACCCACCCACTGCTTTGTGTGCCAAGACCTCCTCTTGCGAAACCCAATCCACTATGTAACCTCTTTCTTTCGTACCAATTTCAAGCTCGGCTGGTATTTGATGGGCCCCATATATGATGTCAGATCTTATGACCCACATGAAGGGGTGTCCACTATTGACCAGGCCGTACCAAAACTCCATCATTTGGGCACGTGTCAAGTTGACCAAAGTCCCGAAGCTGACGTAGATAACAGATCTGGACAGCTGGGAATCGAGCCACGTCATGCAATTTGGGTCGCTTTTCCAAAGACCGCCGTGGGATGCCAGACTCTTGGACACATTACCTATTTGAGCATTGAGGAGGGCGTGGAGTGGTCCGAGGGTGTAAATTTTGGGAAACATGAGGGCCATGTGGGAGAGACATGAAGCGTCGAGTTCATAAACTGTGTCGAGGATGAGAGCTGAGGCTCGTCTTTGGGCTTGGGTCCAGTTGATGGCGAATTGAAGAGCTGGGTGGTCAGCTTGTTTGACTCTGCAAAAACCTGGCAAGTCTTGGCGATGCAAAGGGCCATCCATTCCAGACACTCCGGTGATTTCCACACTCATGTCATCATCTGTTGTGTAACACACTTAAAAGTTAGAAACTCACAAATCAAATCATTACAAGCCAGTTAATTAGGTTATCTTCACATGCTCTCTATGTCTCTCTCTCTGACCTGGAAAAGGAAGTTGTCCTTGCTCAATGAGGTCCGGGAGACAAAGACAAGTCCACAAGTAACGAGCACAAGGAACGTTATAACTAAGAATGGGAATCTCCAACTCCTCCGCCAAGTCAAACGCAAAAGTGACGAGCCCATCTGTTATAATACAGCTGAGAGGCGGCGCCGGAGCATCATTTGACTCGGCCTTGAGCGAAATGGTTTTGAGGAGCTCCCGGAAATGAGGCCTAATGGACGTCTTCAAAGCGATCAACAACTCGCCATTCAAGGCACGGGGATGGTCGTCGGGGAGGCCATCGGAAATGGACTCGAAGTGGAGGGTTGGGAAATGGGTGGAGAGCGCTTGGGGGTTGGCCAAGCGCTTGTGGTTGTGGTGGGTGTTGACGAAGGTGACGTGAAGGCCTGCATGGCAGAGAAGCTCTGCTAAGCACAGCAAGGGCTTGATGTGGCCTTGGAGTGGGAAGGGAAAGATCACTACGTGAGATTGCTTCCCTGCCATTGCCAATTTGCCAGCAGCTATATATATGTGTGTTATAACTTATATAGCTTCTTTCTTGCTTTCTTCCTCTCAGGTTTTCTTAAGTCTAAGTCAATTATATACCGCCAAGGTACCGGAGGGGGTTGCATATAGTCGCTGAAGAGGGCATATAAAATTCCATGCGTGGGAAGCTATAAACATAATTAAACCAAGTCAAGTCGTATAATGGGTGCGGCCGCCGTAACCACGTATACTACTAATTACGACATAATATATAAACTAAAACCTTATTTGTTGAAATGCCCCAAAGGTTTGTGTTTTATCTCAGTTTACCCTCTCAACTTTTAATTGACTAAATGTCTCCTTTGTGCTTTATTTTTGTGTCTCATGTTACCTCATTCCACCTTTGTTTATGCCCAAAATGAACAAGCAATGAGAGCAAGACACGTGGAGGAAATTGGGCTTGATCAGAGGTGCCATCGGCACCCCACCTACCGATCCTTCTATTAGGGCAACGCCCTCTCCTGGGACACGTGGCACGCTCCCAAGCGACGTCCACAGTCCCACATCGAAACTATCAACAAATACACACCTCCCAAGGCCTATAAAAGGAGGCCAACTATCCCAAAATAGAGGTAATCAGAACTTACGGCATACAAGCCTATTGATCTGTCAATTGAACTTTCTATTCCCGAACTTACTTAAGCATCGGAGAGCCTTCGGCCGGTACCACACCGGTGCCCTAGGTCTTACCGTGC